TCTTAATCAGGATATTAATAAGGAACTAGCAGTTTATGAAGCTTTTGGAATAATCCACCAATTTTTTAAAATTAAACACTATCTAAAGATTTGCATTGAAGCGTTTTTTTTTGATAGTGATTTTAATCACTGTCAGATATCATTATACTTGATCCAACTATGCCACGTCACCACTGTGCCGCGACCCCCCTGTGCTGGGTTTTATTATATCTAAAACTGTTTGACGAAGTAGTATTGTTAGTAAGCAAAACTTGAAAAAAATAGGTATTATTCATATATGTTTAGACTTTATTTTTATAACTGTATGTACATATACATAAGTATAACTATGTATATACATATATACTAATAATATTATGAAAATTAATATAATATGTGAAATTTATACCTTTTAATTAGAATATTGATTATAAGTGAGTTTATTTATGAGAATTTTAATATCAGTTTAATGGTAGTACAATTTTTTTTCAGCATTGATACAAAGCTGAAAAGTTATTGCTATTACTATGAAATGTTTTTTTATGCTTGCCGATGTAAATTCTCAGCACTCACTGATCCAGTTTTAATGAACACAATATGTCATAAGAATCCAATTTTCATCTAATTGAACAAATTGTTCCCGAAAATTGAAAAAATTAAAAACCATTAATTTTAGAAATTTAGAAAAATATCTTCAAGTTACATTATTAAAAAAATGATATTTTTCAAATTTTTTTCTGTATTTTAAAAATACTTTACGTTTTTAAAAAAACACTTATGATAATGAAATTTTAATACAATATACAAGAGAAAATAAGATTTCTTTGATGTACTTTTTATAAAAAATCAACAAAAAACATAACTACAAGAGTCGCTTGAAAGAAACCACCCACGTTTTTAAAAATAATTATTTTTAGGCAGACTAATTTTTCAAAAAAAAAATTATATTTTATAATGTTTTGGGAGAAAACAGAAGAAATACCAAAAGAATAGCAATTAGCAATAATTTGTCCAATCTATAAAAAGGGAGATGTTTCAAGCTATCAAAAATACCGAGGAATATCACTGTTGAACACAATGTATAAAATATTATCAGGTATCATATTAAACAGGATTATTCCTTATACAAAAGACATTATTGGAAACTACCAGAGTGATTTTGTGAGAGGAAAATCCATCATAGACAACATTTTCAAGGTTAAAGAACTAGTTGAGAAACATTACGAATTCGATAGGGACCTAAATTTATTATTTGTTGACTATAAATAAGCATATGACTCAGTAAATAGAGAGGTTCTGTGGAATGCACTCATAAACCGTCCAAAACAGTGAAAATGATCAAGCTATGTATGGATAAAACGAGATGTAAAGTTAAATTCAACCAACATACGTCAGATTAATTTGAGGTTAAGACCGGACTCCGACAGAGAGATGCATTATCTCCAGTGCTTTTTAATATAGCACTGGAAACGTTAGTAAAGAAAACGAAGAACAAGTTTGATGGGTTAAACTTGGAAGATAACATAAGACAATGCGGTATTTTAGCGTATGCAGATGATATTATCATATTAGAATCAAATAAACAAGAAGTCATAATGGGCACTAAGGAACTAATAAAAAATAGTAAAGACATCGGATTACAAATCAACGAATCAAAGACTAAATATATGGTAACATCAAGACGAGAAAACTATGGAGAACATTTAGAAGTTGAGAATTTTAAGTTTGAAAGGGTACATAGTTTTAAATATTTGGGTGTTACACTAAATAGCAAAAATAATAAACACGAAGAAATTAATATATGAATTACTGCAGCGAATAAATGCTATTGTGGGTTAACGAGCATATTTAAGTAAAAACAAGTATCAATCAAATCGAAAATTACATTATACAAGCTAATTATCAGACCTGCTCTTTTATATGTTTGTGAAACATGACCAACGACCAAAGGAGATAAAAACAAAATAGCAATTTTTGAAAGACGAATATTAAGAAGAATATATGGGCCAATAAGAAATAATATCACACAACAATATGAAAGTAGAAGTAACATAGAATTACAACAACTGTGTAAAGAACCAGACATAGTAGCAGTATTACGTTATAGAAGAATCACATGGGCTGGCCACGTATGGAGGTCAAATAGCCTAATGAAAGCGGTATTAAAATGGAAACCCAGTGGGGAAAGACCATTAGGCAGACCAAAACAAAGATGGATAGATAAAGTAAAAAAGACTTTAGAAGAAATTGGAATAGAAGATATGGAAACAGAGGCAAAGAATAAAGATAAATGGAGGCAAATCTGTGTTGTGGTAATGGGCCTCAATGGCCTTTGAAAAGTCGAAAAAAAATATTTCGGGAGGTGTGACAAATTGTAATCATCATAAAATAAAAGTTTTTTAGGAATACTTTGTTATTAAAAAAAGAAGAATGATCATACGATATTTTTCCTATGAGTTTGGTTTTAAAGCCAAATATTACAATTTTTTTATAAAAATGCATTAGAAATTGCCGATGCATATTTAACAATAAAACAAAATATTTAATATTTTAATGAAATTTAAAATCATTGGAAATATTGTGTTGTATAATTGTAATGATGATAATTGTAATTTTATAATTAATGTAAAATAATAAAATGAATTCAAATTGGGTTTAATGCTTAACAGTTATTTTTTCAATATTATGTTAGGTATCCTTGAAATAATTGGAAAAGTTTTGTATCTCATAATTTACTTTTACTGATAACAACAAATATAAAACGTTTTACCTAATAAAAATAAATTATGCCATCATCTAAAAAATATTTGTCGTTTTAGAAAATTAAATACATAAATAGAGTTAGATTATGTCTTTAAAAATTTTGAAATAAGAATAGTTCTTAATAATTATTATATTACGTTCTCGCTTATTGTCACTGATCTTATATGAACTGTTTTTTGAAGTGCCACCCATAAAAATATTGAAACTTTTATTTAAAATCTCTTAAAAATATTATTACAATTTTAATGTAGATATCTATTCAAAATTAAATAATATTTAATAACATTTTAGATATTATCTAAAATTTATTTATTTTTTGTATGAAATGTATGAAAAAAACACAAGAATTAATCAAATAAATATAATTAATTATAATATTTAGTATATATGCACAATTTAAAATTAGCGTGGTAAACTATTAAATCCAAGTTGTTCAAAATCGTTTGTTTGAACTTCATTAAAAAAAGAATACAGAAAATCACATATAGATTCATAAATATTTCTGTTATCAACTATATTATTATTTCGAATTTGATCATACACTTTTGACTTAATCGAATATTCGTTTATAATATTAATTGGCATTTTGCAATATCTCAAATGATACTTTACGGCTATTTTTATATTATCATCTATATTTGTTTTACGTTCTCGTGTAATATCATTAAAAAACGATTTTGTTAAAATAGAACTATGACTTGAATAAAACATATCTGGATAATATTTACTTCTTAATTTGCAAATTAACTCTATAATAGATTCTACAAGGATTTCACCTGATGTATTTTGTGATCGTTTTATTATGCTTTTCGATGTTTGTCGCAATGTAACCAAAGCAAACAGCATATTTTTTAATGTAAGGTTGACTTTTTCTAAAATTGTATATAATTTAGCTGCACACTCGTTTTCGAATTCTTTTTCGCAAACACTTATTATAGCTCCCAAAGTAGCATTAAACGTTTGTACTATTTCGATATACCTACATCTTAATGTTTGTATTATACTTGATCGTATATAATTATAACTTGAAGCATTTAAAGTACATATTAAATCATTAATGCAAACATGATTTCCATTAATTTTTGTAGTTATATTGCTATATGATTTCCAACCAGGATACTGAAGAAGTTTATTGAAAAGTTCAATACCTTTCTCTATAGTAAATGGATGAACCTCACGAGGTTCATATCTATAAAGATTTAATAAAAATATTAGTAGACGTATAAATTGGACAAGAAAAAACTAATCTTCATTATAAAATAAAAATATTTTACGTATTGAATTAAGTCATCTTATTATGTTTTATAATTTAAATGCTTTGAACATTTATTTTTAAGATTATAATTTTGATATGAATTTGAGTGCATGAACTGATGCACATAGATATATATATATATACATATATATTTATATATATACATATATACATATATATATTTATATATATATATGTTTTATACATAGACTGTAGAGTATATACATAATTGTGTATTGGTGAGCAAATAATTTAAAAAATGTTTTTATCTGATTGATAATTTTAATTTGGGGTATGTTTCAGTACTTTTTAAAGATAAAGTAAAGGATAATTTAAATTATGATAATATATTGATTGTCTTACCTGAAATTATTAGTTCCTATTAAATCTCCAAAACCAAGGTCCCTGTAATAATTGTCAACTATTCGTCTATAAAAATTATTGAGATCATTACAAATTAAATTTATATAATTGTCTGGATTATTTATGATTTCATTAATGTTTTTCTCGTCATACTCTGACATCAAAACCATTGGAATAACATTTCTATATCTAGAGCCACACACCTTGTGAAATTCGAAAAGTTTTTGAATTGTTGGTTCGACTATATTTTTATGAAATTTTTTTATATCTTCAAAAACATCAATAATGTCATTTTCGTTAACAAATTCCGGTCGATTCATTTTATCATCTGTATACATGTAAAATAATTCAATTTCATTGTCGATCACTCTTGGATTTATTAAAAATTCGTCAATAATTCGCAAATCTAATTGACTTAGGAATGTAGTAGCGCCCAAAAGTTTCATAAACATGATTGAAGAATTTTTTATAACATCAACTAATCGCACTGTGCATAATTGAAATTGGATTTGGTGGTTTTTGTCTTTTTCCGATTGACACTTATTTATAATAAAACTTAACATGACATCAAATGTTTGCAATATATTAGAGTATTCACAGTTTATAAACTGTATTATATAATTAAGTTTAACAATATAGTTGCTCTCATCAATAACTTCATTTATAACATTATTTACATCAAATTTAAAAGTACCTTGAGTAAATTGTAAATTTGACATTGAATACCACCCAGATTTAACTCGAATATGATTTAAAACATTTATGGTATACATTTTGAAATCTGAACTTTTTTCGTCATAAGTTATTAATGAAACTTGGCTAATGAGTTCAAGTACATATAATAAAAAAGCTAGTGACTTCTTGCACATTTCTAAAATAATAAAATTCAATTGACAACGTTATTGAAACTAAAACACTTATTTAATTCTTCAATGTTATATATTTTTAGAACTTCTATTTTTCACTAATTTTTTATTAATATATTAGTTAAAGTGCATTTACCAATTTATATTTATTCAAGTCAAAAAACTCTATCATGGGTTTATTTTAAATAGAAATGCTTTATTTATTTAATTATATTTTTAGTATTAAATTGATGAGACTTTTTTCAGAAACTCTTGAAAAATTATTAAAAATTTTTAATTTTTATAAAAAAAAATTAATTATTATGATACAAAAAAAAAAAAAAATTATAAAAAATTTTGAACTTCCAGACAGTAAACCAAACTGGTTCTTTGTTACTGATGATTTTCATTTTATTCTTTTGTCTATTACCATATTCTAAATATTCATACTACGACTTAAGAGCTTTATGTATCTATGATTTTCATACTCTTGTATGTCCTCTTTGCTTTTAAATATAGGTGCTAAAATACTATTCCTCCATTCTTTTGACATTTTCCCTTTTAAAACGACTTTTTATTTTTAGCTTTTAGACAACCTTAGATTTTTTTTTAACTTTCTTCGGTTTGTTGGGTACGCATTACGAGAGGACGTTTTGCTACATCGTATTTCTATGACTGATAACGTCTCTCGCACTACCACAACCGGTTGTGTGAGCGATTCATTACGTCGGATGCTAGTCTACGTGATTATTGTGTCTCGCCGAACTATTATCGGTCCTTTCTGTGAATTTTGCGTTCTCGCCACCATTGCTAGCCTTTGCTACGTGGTTCTATGGTGCACCTAGCTCATAGTCGCTTTAATGGATTAACCACTCTGGTGATTCGTCGTGGGTATAGAATTGCTATACAACATCGTGTACATAACAAGTGCCTCCGTTTGTGTCGACTACCCTTGTAGTCTTCAACATTTTGATGTAAAGTACTCCAACTGTTCATTTTTCACCGTCATCAGTCATCTTTCATCTATTGTACGTTACACAGTTAAGTTTTTATTTGTTTGTAATTATTATATTATATTTTACCTATTTTGTTCAGAGATGCCTAGTTGGCCAATTTAGCATTAAGTGACCCCCCAATCCACAATTCTATGATAGTTTACATATATATATATATATATATATATATATATTGTTACTTTAATATATAACTCCTTGTCTTATAATTCTTATTTTTTTATTTAGTGCAAGTACCATCCTCTTATATACAGTCCACTCCCTATTTATTTCTCCGGCATAATTAAATAACCCAACTGAACGTTAACTAACCCGCACATTATAACCGGGCGTTCCGTTCAAACACGGTTATCTAATATTCTGTCTGAAACTGAACAAATAGAAGCATTAGTAATGCATAAATATTGAGAAGTCATAGAAATGTATAGATATTAATAGGCCATTAAAATATTATAAAGTCATATTAATGAATATCCCAGAAAAAGGTGCAATATATAAAGTAAACACGACATTGTAAATTTAAAATTATAGAAAATTATGTTAATATAAAATTTTAAATGTAACACTTAAAATTAGGTTACACCTTAAGTAATTATTATTGTATTGATTATATTATTTTGCTAGTTGGAATACAAGGAAATTTTAAAATTTGTAAAATTAGCATCCTAATACACAAAATGATTGAGTTAACTTGGATCACGACGTTATAAACGTTAACAAATATTTTTTTTTATTACGTTTAGTAGTATTTATTTCTTGATTTATTAGCTGTTAAATATTTTTCTAATCCACCTCTTACTCCTTGTAAGCTTTACCAAATTAATTTTGTTAATGATACCATACATATTTTACTTGCTTAAATTTTAGAATATGATCCAACTAAAAAAAAAAACCCAGCCCAGTGAGGACGTGGCATGTTTGGTGTCAAATATAAAGATATCTGACAGTAATTTAAATCACTATCATAAAAAGCGCTTCGATCCAACTCTGTAGATAGTGTTTAATTAAAAAAACGGTAGCATAGTGGGGTCGAGGCACAGTGTAGAGGAGGCATAATTGGGACAAGTATAGATGATATTTGACAGTGATTAAAATTACTATCATAAGAAACGCTTCGATGCAAATCTGTATATAGTGTTTAATTTTAAGAAATTGGTAGATTATTTCAAAAACAACAATAACACTTATTCCCTTAATTTTATCCCGATTTATAATTATAATATATGAATACGTAATAATTATAACANATATCCTGATTAGTAAGTCTTTGATTTTAAAATATAAAATATGAATAAATACTAATTATAATTATTAAATTTAGTATACAATTAATATTCAGTAATTTATTATTGTAATTTATACGGAGAAATTATAAAAATAATAAAGAAGTTATATTTTGCTTTACTTTTACGTGTATAAAAATTTAAAGGGCTTGATACAATAATTATCAATAAAAACTGTTTGTTACTATAAATAAATGCACTGTACTACAAGGAACTTTCATCAGAAGCAAAAATATACTTTTCTAAATAAACTGTTCGCGTTGTTTTCAAATCTGTAATTAGACTTTTTCTATCNTGTTTTCAAATCTGCAAGTAGACTATTTCTATCACTTCTAATTTTTTATATTATTACTAATTACATATAAAATAATAATTAAAAGAAAAAAAATTTGTTTTCAAATTATTACTGATTTGATTTTTAGTATGTTAAAAATAATCAGTCTAAATTTTCATTTTTACACCCAAAGAAAAACCTCAATCAATTTTGATAGAGAAATTTGATCAAGGGTTTATGATAATGTTTTATTAATACGAACAAAATAATTATTCTTATAAATAATTATTGTTCAAGATAAGAAAAAAAATTATCATATTGATAAATATATCATTACTATTGAATCTATGATATATTTATCAAATTGAACAATGAATTTATTATATAGATCGAGGTTTTTCTCTGGGTGTAACCTATTTTTTTGGTTCATTAAAGTTGATGAAAAATTTTTGATAAAGCTTTGTGAAAGTTTATAATAAAAAAAATTGAATATGTTACCATAACTTTTAGCTCAATTACAAGTCTGAAATTGACATCATTAAATAGAAAATTTTATGAGAATTAAAACAATGTTATTTTTAAGATTAATATGCAGTCAGAAAGTTTTATAATTATTATTTATTGTAAATTTATCAGAAAAACTCATTATTTTTTGCATTTTTATCGTAATAGAACACTTAAATAGAAATCATAGTAATCATTTCTAAGTAATTTTTGATATTTAAAAAGATTCTACTATTGAAATATCCAGAACTGAATTAATTTTAATGATTTACTTTAACTAAAAAAAAAAAAAGTTATTATTTTGAATCCCTCTTGTGGGCAGGTAAAGGGTTAGAATTATAAAAAAAAACCAAATGATAGATAAAGACATGCATCTATATAAAAAAAAAATTATACTGATTTGGTCTTTTTTTATAAAGTTTAACAGTTAACAAAGTTATAAGTTTTATACATTGTACTACAAGGAACTTTCATCAGAAACAAAAATATAATATTCTAAATCAACATTTCGTGATGTTTTCAAATTTGCAATTAGAATTTTTATATCACTTTTGAGTTTTAATATTATTAAAAAATAATATTTACATACAGGCGCGGACTGGGATCAATTTTCTTACCGGGAAACCAAGTTAAAGGGGCCCATAGGCACTTTCCACGGCCGCGGCAAAGCTCCTGGGAGCCCGACCGCTTTTTTGTGCTGGTTGAGCAAAAAAAAAAAAGGTCTTTAATAAAATTTAGGCCAAAAATGGTTACTTAAGTAGTGTATTTTTTAGGCAATATTTTGATTAAATAGTCTAACATCAGTATTAATAAAATTCTTTATTTTTGTTTAAAACCTTTACCATAAATTTTAATTTAAAATAATATATATTTTTTAAGTTATACGTATTAATGTCTCCCTTTGCGCAATAAATGCTATAAACAAACTTTTAACTTAATGGCTGATTTAATCTTAATAAATTAGTTAAATTGAACAATAGTGAAATTATTTTAAATACTTTAAACTAATATAGAAGTTAAGTTTACAAAATATTCAGCAACGTATAGTAAAATAATATGTAGTTTTTGAAAATGTGAATCTGAATGTAAAACTACAAAATTAACAAATATATTCAGTTAAATTTTTAATAATCTAAACATTTCTAAACTTTTCTCACACATGGAATCTATTATTTCGTCATTAGTTATTTCATCTACTAATTCCTGTTCGCAATTCATGATGAATATTGACTCTAAATTTGGTTGAGTTAATGTGCTTCTCAATCGCGTCTTAATCAATTTCAGTTTGGAGAATGATCTCTCACAGGTTGTTTGAGTTAAAGGAATAGTCAACAAAAATGTGTATACGTCGAAGAGTTCTTTATATTCCAAAGAATACATATTAAACTCATAAATTATGTTCGTCACGCACAATAAACACGAGTTACATTTTCTTATATTTGTACATTTTTCTTCAATGTTTTCATTTTGCATGTAATCTTCAAAGTCCGATTCATCTTGTACTGTTTGATTATATATATCGTCTACGTCATTGATATTTGTTTTTGAAATTTTA